GGAGGTATCATGGTGATCCGTCCCACGTGTTGGATTTCAGTTCAGTCCTGTTAGAGAAGGATCTATATTATGTTGAGGAGCTAGTGGCAATATTGGACAGGCAGGTTAGGAAGCTGAGGTCAAAGAACATTGCATTAGTGAAGGTCCAGTGGCGGGGTCAGCCGGTCGAGGAGGCGACCTGGGATACCGAGCAGGATATGCGCAGCCGCTACCCTCATCTTTTCACTACTTCAGGTATGTCTCTATGCTCGTTCGAGGACGAACGAATGTTTATGTGTGGCAGGATGTAACGACCCGGCCGGTCATTTTTAGAATTTACGCCCCGATCCCCTATTAACTGCTTTACCCGTGTTTATTTCTGCTATTTTGAATTGCCGGGATGTTCGGTTTTGAATTTCGGAGAGTTTTGGGACACTTAGTCCCTAAATGAGAGCTTAAGTCTTAGAAATTTGACCATAGTTGGAACAGTGTGAAGACGGCCTCGAAATGGAAATCCGATGGTTCCGTTAGCTCCGTTGGGTGATTTCGTGCTTAGGGGCGTGTTCGGATTGTATTTTGGAGGTCCGTAGCTAATTTAGGCTTGAAATGCCGAAGGATGAATTTTTGAAGTTTCCGGCTCGATGGTGAGATTTAGATCCGAGGGTCGGAATGGAATTTCAGAAGTTTGAGTAGCTCCGTAGTGTTGAATGTGACGTGTGTGCAAAATTTCAGGTCATTCGGACGACGTTTGATAGACTTTTTGATCGAAAGCATATTTTGAGAAATTTGGAGTTCTTAGGCTTGAATCCATGGTTAATTTGAGGTTTCGATGTTGTTTTAGGTGTTTTAAAGATGGGTACAAGCTTGGATAGTGGTATTAGTCTTGTTGGTGCCTTTGGCTGAGGTCCCGGGGGCCTCGGGATAATTTCGGATGGTTGACAGGGAGTTTGAGGAATGTTTGCAGCTGCTGATCTTTGGCTGCTTCTGGTATTTCTGCACCTGCGGTTTGGGGACCGCAGGTGCGACGCCGCACACGCGGAAGAGGATCCGCAGAAGCGGATTGGTGAGAAATTTTTAGAAACTGCAGGTGCGGAATGTTGAGTGCAGGTGCGATTTTGGTCCGTTAAGTGAAGAACCGCAGAAGCGTTTATGTGGCCGCATATGCGGTACCGCAGAAGCGATTATTGTGCCGCAGATGCGAAAAATGCCTGGGCAGAAATATAAATTGTGCCCTTCGCGAATTTTGAGCTATTTCACCATTTTTATCTCGGCTTGGGAGCTTTTTGGACGACTTGAAAGAGGGACTTCAAGGGAACTTCATTGAGGTAAGGAATTTGGACTTAAAACTCGTTCCTATGCTATTATTTCACGGATTAGAGCTAGAAATTATGGAAATTTACGGTGAAAATTTGGGGAAAACTAGGGCTTAGTATTGGAGACCTTTGATTGAGGATTTGATGGTCCATTTGAGGTCCGATCTTGGTAATTTTGGTATGCATGAACTCGTGAGAGTGTGGGGATTCTAGAAATATAAATTTCACCCTATTCCGAGACGTGGGCCCGAGGGGCGTTTTGGTCATTTTACCTAATTTCGCATATTAGCTTAGAATTTAATTGTAGAATCAGTTACTTGAAGTGTTATTTACATTATGAAATTTAATTGAACAGATTTGGGCCATTTGGAGTCGAATACTCGTGGCAAGAACGTGGTTTCGGGTTGACAATTGAGCCGATTCGAGGTAAGTGGCTTGTCTAACCTTGTGTGGAGGACTTTTCCCCTTAGGATTGATATTGTGATAATTGAAATGCCTTGTACGTGAGGTGACGAGTGCGTACTTGTGCTAATTGTTGGAAATTCGGTTTTCATTAAAAACAACCTTAAATTGTGTTCTTCCTTTTCTTGCTTACGCTATTTGGAAATTAAGCCTGCTGTTTCTAGAGAAGCATGTCTAATTGACTAAATTGCTCAAATTACTTTAACTGCCTTATTTGTATAACGTGAAGCAAGCTAGGTTAGAATTATCTGTTTCCCCTTGGTATGAAATTGATTGAATTGAGTTCTTGTTGCTGTTGTGTATTTACTTTGGGACTACTGGACGTTATCCCGGGAGCTCCCCTGTATGTTTACTTTGGCACTACGGAATTGCATTCCGGGAGATCCCCCTGCACTTTTACATTGGAACTATGGGATTGCAGCCGGTAGATTCCCCCAGTACTGAGTATTTGTATTTTGCACTACGGATGTGGTATTCCGGTAGATCCCTGCGCATTTGTGAGTTGGACTATGGGACTGCACCCGAGAGATCCACTGGACATTTACATTTGGGGACTACAGGACGGTATCCTGGGAGATCCCCCGACTGTTACTTCTGCATTGAGCTGTACTGGTTTTACTGTGATTCTTGTTTCTGTTTCTGTTGTCGTTATTCTCTATGTCTTGTGATACTTTCACTGCTGCACCTATTTATACTGTTCTTATTTATGCTGTTGAATTTTTATATACTATTTAACCTAAGTAGGGCCCTGACCTTCTTCGTCACTACCCAACCGAGGTTAGGCTTGGCACTTACTGAGTACCGTTGTGGTGTACTCATGCCCTTCCTGCGCATGTTTTTCATGTGCAGATGATCGCTGCCAACTCCGCACTACTAATAAGTAGCAAGAGAGGGTCGCAACAGCTTTTACCCGATTTTGGGTTGGGATCGAATCCTTAGAGAGCTAGAAGTTGGAATTGAGTATCTATGCAGTGTAGAGTTGCGTATGTGTTCTTAATTACACTTCTATTCATTTTTACGGTTTTCATAATAATTCTACTTTTAACAAACTACAAATTGTAAATTAAGCTAAGGGTTAAATTGCTACGAGTTGTTCAAATCAGTTAAAGGGCACTAGGGTAATGACTATCGCCTAGGTGGTCAATTGACGGGTACTTGAATCTAAGGAACATTTGACATATTTGGGGAGTATGTTATAACCGTTGCATGAATTTACCCACTCTACACCTCTCATTGGTTCAAGTGATTTTGCCCGAATTGGCTTTCTCAAGACCAATTGGGTATGCAATTTTGCACAAGCAACTTAAGGTTCAATTCGGGTACTACTCTCTCGAGGTTTAATCCTTTAATTGGGGCTATCAATCTCTTGAATACGCCCCAGTTAATTGTTGGACCAATTTCGGAGACTTAGGCTCTCTTTCTCAAGAAGAGCTTATGTCATCTCAACACAGACTAGTGTTTGCAATCACTAATTCAGAAATTAACCATGAAATTGGCTCAAATAACAAACACCCATAGTCAAATTAGCCCTAAAATACAAGACCCATCAATTGCCCACACTAGGGTTGAGCCACAACCCTAGCTATGGGGTCTAGCTAATCATATTCAAAGCAGAAAAACAAGAAATAGATGAAGATGAACTCATATTAATTAATTGCTAAGCTAAATACAAAGATTCAATGATGAAAAGTAAGTAAAAATGCCCAAATTGCTAAGAAAAGTCGTCTCACGAGTGCAGCTTACGTATTACAATATCTGATGCCCTGAAAATGGAAAAAGAATCTATTTATACTAAGCTGAAAAAATCTAGACAAAAATGCCCCTGTGGGGTTAGTGCGGACCGCACAGAATGGACCGCGGTCCGCACTGGCTCTTTGACATCAAAAATCTCACTCTTTGAACTTGGGCTCCGCGGACCGCACAGAATGGACNGTGTGCTTTCTAGGTGGAAACTTAGGTACAACCATATAATATTTACATCTAATTATAAATAAATAATAAATAGGATATAACTTCTCAAAAGAATGAATTGCGAGAGAAATAAACGATATCGTGCAGAATTTTACCTGACCTTATAATCATTAACTAAAGCTTTTATAATACCATATTAAGAGTATAGAAATTTGCTTAATATTCTGATCCGGGCTTCCTTCTTGTCCTCATGTTTTTAACATGAATTTTCATGGTATATCTACAATTGAAGAAATACTAAAACAGTTAGTAGAGATACAAGAGACGGTAAACACATTGATTCTCTTCTGCTACCATCTTTTCTATTCACAACAATAGAAAATGGGACAATCTAAACTCAACACGAGAATATTATGTAAATGTAATTTTGTCGAACAACATAGCTCTAAATTCAATAGAAGTACCACCTACAAAGAAATCTCTTGTAATTTGCTAAAATCTCTTATGCTAATGAACCAAGTCAACTGCGAGCATAGGCAAGAATGATACTGGCAATGAGACGCAAAGTACTAAATCCAAACAAAGATTGAAAAGGAGAAGATAAACAAAGAAGAAGAAAGTGAAAACTAAAATGTACACCTTGAAATGTAATAATGACAAAGTAGGGTCTTTAAATATTCCAATTCCCATTCTATACAAATGTAACGTCTGTAGAAGAAGAGAAGGAGTGGGAGGTATAATTAGTAAAAATTAATTAAAGAATAAAAATGGCTTTATTGTCCTCTAATACCATATTTAAAGCATACAAAGATTATGAAATTGGGAAAGAATGAGAAAAATTCAAAAAAAGGAGAAAATAGATAAATAGGATCCTTGGCCAAAGAGAGGTGCCAACTCATCTTTTATTTTCCCTACTTTATATATATATATAGATTATTTCCTTGATCATTCATGAGTAAGTATAACAATTTTTCCTCTTATTGATGAATATTTCTGTTGCAAAGATAGTCATATAAAGAAAGATTTCTGAGAATCTCTTTGTTATGTTTTTCATTTTTCTGGAAAAATAGCTGCTTTGTTTTCCATAAAAAGAAATGCCAAAAAAAAAGTTTTAGATGACAGCAGGCAACACTTTGAGGCTTTCTATAAAGGATAGTGTTAATGCCTTCGGACAATTTGTGTAAAACATTTCAGTCAATACGACGTAACTACATTATTCAACTGGTCTGAAAAAGTTGATTGTATCAAACCTCTAGCTTACCAGGCTAAGACCTCTTCCTGATCCATTAACAATTAAGCCCAATATACTTAATCTCCAGAAAGTTATTGTTCCCTAACCAACAGAGCTTGTTGAAATCACACGATTTCATCAATATGCTTTGTACAAGGCCTAAAACATAATTCGCCTCTAAACATCAAACAAATTCACTAGTCAGTGCACCTCATTCCCAAACTAGTTAGACTTTACAGTAATGCAAACATCCCCAAACTCACTAAATACTGCACCTCAATGTTAATAGTTGCATTTCGACTTGAGAGTCCAAAGAAGCAGATAGCCTAAAGAAGCAGATAGCAGTAGCAACAATAGCAGAAGAAGCAGAAGCAAAAGAAGAAGCAACAGAAGCAAAAGAAGAAGCAGAATTAGCAGTAGCGGAAGCAACAATAGCAGAAGAAGCAGCGGAAACAAAATAAGAAGCAGAAGAAGTAGTAGCAGAAGAAGAAAAAGCAACAATAGCAGATGAAGCAGAGAAGCAGTAGAAAAAAAAAAGCAACAGAAACAGAAGAAGAAGCAGAAGTAGCAATAGCAGAAGAAAGTACCTTTGTCTCCTCTTTCATGCGATAAGTAACATACAGTGCCCATTGGTCCATCGGTATGCCATCCTGAACGTTCTTGATGATATCTTCTTTACTTAATAATGGATCGTCAGCCTCCTTCCATAGTTTTAGCCTGTACTCCCTCCACTTTTTGTTAATGGAACTGTTAAGCCATGCCTTTGCCTTTTGTTGATCAATTGTAAAAAAAAATCGAGGCTTCACAAATATAAAGTAAGTTAATTTACTGTAGTTTTACATATACAACTAAAAGATACAAACTAAACAAAAGAATTTAGATGGAATTACCACTATTATATCATTAAAAACACGGTCCAGAAAAGATTTGGGCATGGATTGCCATTTCTCAAAGCCAATAGGAAAGTACATAGGATTTGTTGCTAGCTGCCCTAAAACTCCAACAATTAGGCCAGCCGATTTCCCAATTGCTGCATGATATTCATCAAATTCTACAATTATACGCAATCCTTTATCCAAGTTATGGACATCCTTAACCTTCAATCTAATTGTTTTGATTACTTGACGTTCATCTACAACAAAATAAAGTCAAGTTAAAACATTAAACGAGGAAAACAAAAAGAATACTCAATCACTTGAAATTTATATGTACCTATAACATCGACAAACCAATGAGGCTCTTCATTGCTAGTACTACGTCCAGTTTGTCGTGAAGAGACTGCACCAGATGATGAAGATGGAACGGCGGGCTGAGAAGATATTCCATCAGATGATAAAGATGATACAACATGCTGCGAAGAGACTCCATCAGATGATGATGGAACACCGTGTTGCGAAGAGACTCCATCAACTGAAATAACATGCTGTGTAGGTTGTGTAGGCAGTGTAGAATGTAAAGAGACTCGATAAGATGTTGAAGATGAAGCTTGAGCCTGTGATGGCTGCCTCGGAACAAGTGAAGATCTCTCTTTGACTGATTTGAATTGATTTTTAACCCTATTTTGCTTCGGCATCTCTACATACATAAAGGTATATAAAGCAAAACAAGAAAACCTTGATACAAAAATAGTTTAAAATTCAAGACAAAAATAAATAACTTAAGCTTAATTAAT